GCTTCAAAGACTTTAAGCATTGGGCTTTAAAGTCTAAGAGTGTGAATTGGAAATGGTGGGAATGGAAGGAAATGAAAATTTGAATAAAGTGAGCTTTTGACTTGCACTTTGTCCCTCATTGGTGAGGGGCAACTACATTTGTGTGCTTATATATAGAATCACTTCTTAAAGCTCTTAAAAGGAGTTGAAGAGAATGAACCCTCGCGCCGTCGTCGTCGCTCGCTCGGCTCGGCTTCGGCTTTGGATTTGGATTTGGAAAATGATCGATAAGATTATTTTTGGACAAAATTTATTTAATTAATTAAATGCCAGATCACTGCTGAAGATTCAGAAGGATAGTCTGGCCGCGGTCCTGGCGTAATCGCGGTAGGACCGCGCCAGAACACTGCTGCAGATTCAGAAGGCTAGTTTGGCCGCGGTCCTGGCGTAACCGCGGTAGGACCGCGACAGGACGCGTAAACTTCTGAACAGACACCTTTTCCAGAACAAACATCACACCTCTTCCAATAATTGCCTATAAATTCTGAGGCATGGCTTCGTTTTTAACACACCAAAAACATTACAGAACTTCCTTCTTTCTGAAAATACTGCATTCTAATTCGCGGTCTCTCTCTCTCAAATTCGTAAGTGTGATTTTGCTCCGTTCTTTGAGTTCGTTGGTATCCTGCAGTTTGTATTGCCACTGTTGCAGGAAGGTTTATTCCGTTTCATCCTGGGAGGATTTAATCCATTACCTTGGCAACGTGTGAGGGGGTTAAAATTCCTTAAGGACGCACAAGCAAGTTGTGGACTCGGAATATTTCTTATTCTTTACACTTGTTGTCTGCTACTGTGTTAAAACACGAAATCAGAAAACTGTTAAAAAAATAAAAAAAACTGGAAAACAGGGACTACAGTTATGTTTTTGAAATATCAAACTTTAATTTTCTTTAATTTTTTCAAATTGAGCCACTAACGCCAAATCTTCATTTAATAGTACATGTTTCTATCAGGAAATTGGACACTGTTTGCGCTGTCTCTCTCTCTACAACACGACTGACCAAGAAAAGCCGCTCCTCCTATTTCTATTCTATAATCTATATACATACGGTCAGGGATATCAAAATATAAAAAAATTAAATACATTAACAAGTTTAAGAAAGTTACTTATAATAATTTTTCGGCGAAAAAGTGTCGATAGACAATCCCTTGATTGAATATGTCTCCGCCACTGCAAACACATCGATTACATCAATTAAATACACCACAAAGTACTAATTTTTTTTCTTTTTAGTTTGTTAAAAAAGGATGATGTTTTTTATATATTTATAAATAATTTAACTTTAAATTTCATATTTTATTTTTAATATACATATAAGTGACTATAATATGAATCAACATAGAATTTAAGAAAAGAAATAATGATTTTTAAAATTTGTGAGGTAACATGTGTCATAATATTTGTATGACTAAAGAACTTCTAAACATGGGCGTATCCAATGAACAAGCTATGGGTTCATCTAAACCCATAGCTTTCAGCTTAGATCATGTATATGTGTTTAAAAAATTTATTAAGTATATACAAATATTTACTAAATTTACTGGAATTATTTTATCGACTGTTTGATTTGGTATATTAAAAATAACATTCATTGCATAATTTTTTTGTTTGTAAAAATACCCTCTGCATTCTTTGGAAAGAAACTTAGAAATATTTTGAAAGCGCAATTATGTCTTTATATGTACATGCTTATCCATGTATAAAAAATTATTATATCATTAATGGCATAATGTGTTATGTATAAGAATAGTATTGAATAGAATATATAACTAATATATGTATTAATTTAATATAGACTAAATATTCTACCAAACAATGAATTAATAAGTACTACCAAAACTATTATGCCTAAATATTATCTTAGTTAATACATCCCGTTAAACGATCCCATAAAGTGTAATGGATATGTTCCGGCCAAACATCATTCACATAAGATGGAACTAAGTAAATAGGGTAAGCGTAGAGACGTAATTCTCAGGGATGCTATTTAGAGATTAACCAGTACTATTTTATTCAGAAATTTTAAATTAAAATTATTACTTTCAGGATAATTAAGAATATTTTTATCGCAGATAATCTATATTCTATTAAAAGGAGAGTAGTGAAGCATGTGGTTAAGCCAAGTGGCAAGCTAAAAAGAAGCCAATTGGCAATTTTAGGACAACATTAAAAATTTGAATTATAAATGGAAACACAATTAATGTAAGTAGTTTAATAAATCTTATACTCAATCTAAATAAATCTTAGACAAATCTAATCTATATATCTTCATTTAAATTTTTATTTATATGTATATTTGTAGCTATATCTCTATTTATATCTATATTGATCCACCCATAGATATTTTTTCTGTGTTAGCTAGAAATATGGAGTTAAAAGAATAACTAAAAATTATAATAGAAAAAAATAAAAAAATATAGAAAGACGTAGATTTAGATAACCTGTGATTATTTATACTTTGGAGTAAGTTAAAATAAAATTAAAATTTACTTAAGATATTAAAAGATTTATTAAGTTTAAAAATTAAATAAATTCAAGCGGCAAAATAAGATCTTACATAAAGTATATAAATTTTTATAAGGTAAGAAAAAACTCAAATGATTAGTAAAAAATATTTTAATAACAAGAATAATAATGTCATATTAAGATTGAAAAATCGTGCAAACGAATATTTTATACGTAAATATTACTACAATATTCAGATATAATGGGTTCAAACAATTAAGAAAATATTTTTTTGTGATTAATATTTGAATAGATCGGTAGTTAGTTTAAGTTTGAAAGTCATAACATAATTTTTTGAAAATGCAGTCAAATTTAGAGAATAGAATAATAAAACTTATTTGAATTTGAGAAAGTTTTTAAATTTTTGTCTATGTTATATTAGAATGAGTGTGGTATAAATAGATATTAAATTCAAACAAGCTAATAAAAATTCACATGACAATGGAATAATATTAAATATTGAATAATATAATATCAAAAATAAAAAATAAATAGAAATTTTTTTTTTGATTTTTTATCATAGAAAAAAACTGTAAAACTTATTTAAATTTGAGAGAGCAAGTTTTTTATATTATAATAAGAAAAGTCATAATATGAATAGGTCCACGTAACTCAAGCTTAATAGACAAAATCAAAAACTAAAAATATTGAATAATAGAAATAAATTAGAGATAATGTGAGGATATTTATAAATCATAAGTTTAGAAAATAAAATAAATTAAAATACAAACTTAAAATTAGAAAGGGAAAGGCTAATTAAATTTGAAACTAGAAAGTTGTTAAAATTAAATATACAATACTTAAAATATTAGAAAAATTATGTTAAATTATTAAAAATTTACTATTAGAAATAATTGAATTTGAAATTAGAAAGTTGTTAAAACTATGATTAGAATGCTCAAACTATGGATACTATCACGAAATTGAAGTCTTATTTATGAAAAAAAATAACTAAAATGCAAAATAAATTTCTAATATAGGTAGTTATACTAATGAAAATTAAAAATTAAATTTGTATTAAAGCTAAAAAGAAAGAAAATTTACATAAGAAATAAGTTGACAGTGAAAATATTACTACAACATTTAGATATAATATGTTCAAAACAACTAAGTAACTTTTCTATGATTAATATCTTAATCGAGTGCAGTTAGTATAAGTTTGAAAGCATAGCATAATTTTTTGAAACTGCGTTCCAATTTAGAAAAAAATTAAATGATAATAATTATTTGAATTGAGATGAGATTTTTTTTATTTCATAATTTTTTTATTTTGGAAATTATTAAGAAAAGAAATAAAATGTCAGTAAACATATTACTACATAAATATAATATGTTCAAACCATTAAGAAATTATTTTTCTAATATAATAAAATTTTAAGAATATAAAATAACTTTTAAAAATTAAATTTATATATATATATATATATATATATATATGTATGTATAACTGCATCTAAATCAAAAATAATTATAAGAGAACTCAATACATTTGAAACATAATCATCAAGTAACTTAAGTATTAATATTTTAGCCTACATATATTTTACAATTTAAAATAAAGTATGATATTATTTTGGTTATAGGTAAAAAATTAATGTAAAAACTAATTAAAATTTATAGTAGGGAAGAGAATGTATAGAAATAGACATAGTGTGAGGATACTTATATTTTAAATTAATTTAAAAATAAATAAATTAAAAAATTAAATTATATTATTAATATTACAATAAATTTAATTGATTAAAAAATTTCGAATGAGAGTATAAAAGCATAAAAATATACCAAATTTCATGAATAAAACATTTCTATTTATTAAAGACTATTAAAATAATAATAAGAAAGACATTAATTTAATTATTAAGCTAGTAAAATATTATATGATAGTACAAAAATATTAAATAATAAATAATGCAATAACTATAAGAAAAAAATAAAAGAAAAAAGAATTTGCGTACAATAATGTGATGAATAAGACATATTTAACTTTTAGATAAAAACAAAGTGATGGTAAGAAGTTTGTTAAAATAATATGATCTATTGCGCTCAACCAAGACAAATCACAACATGATATGTTTAGTATTCTTTAATGTTGATTAGCAAAACGAAATGCAAGACTAAAATCAAGGGTTAGGTTGCTACAAATATATAAAAAAAATAAGTTATACACTGCGAGATTTGAACAATAATTTCATATCTACTTCATAATAATATCTAATGTTATATAATTTTTATCCGAGGGGTTTATATTTTAAGGTTATTTGCACATGATTCAAACAACCTACATCATAATTTAACATGATTTATATCCGCGCATCACACGGATACTTATACTAGTTAAATTGAAAAACTAAAATTCGAGACTCACTGGCTAATTCCTAAATAACAGGTTTTTAGAGCGGATACATGGTATCATTTCTACATAACTACTACTACTACTACATATATAATCAACACGAATATTTCTTTTTCCAACATTTACAAGTCCTAGAGGTGATGTTTGTTCACCCGCTCTTCAAACTCCGCTCAATGACTCATCGTTTTCAAATCTACCATTCTCTCATACTGTCTGTTCCTTAAATTTAATATTACCTTCTCTTTACATTTTCTTAAACTAAAACCAAAACCCAGAAAATTAAACCAATAAACAGAAATGAAATGCTTCTATTTTACAAAGGACGAAGAAGAAGGGGCAACATTAAGTTCAAGGGAATCAAAAGTTTCATGGGTTCGTTCATTAAGCGTCGCATCGAGCAGTGCAACCGTTGATACGCGGAGGTCACGGTCCGAGTTGGACTCGGAGTCGAGGGATTATACTGACTCGTTCGAGTTTTACGAGTTTTTGACTCAGCGACGAGCTAATGATCTGCGAGTTTTTGGGTTTTATGAGCTGAAATTAGCGACGAAAGGTTTCAGCAGAAGTTTAATGATCGGAGAAGGAGGTTTTGGGTGTGTGTATAGAGGAGTTGTTGGTGAATTGGAAGTTGCTGTTAAACGATTGAATCGCCATGGATTCCAGGCATGCTTTTCTCCTTAATTTCAAATAAAATTAAGTTATATACAGTACAAAGATTATTATTATTTTCACTGTTGTTTTGCCCACGATATTTATACAGTGAGTCAAGTGTAATTAACAGTAAATTAAAATCTTGAAAATAAGGCATGTCACAAGTTATAATATGTAAATGTGATCTGATAGTGTAAACATTTTCCACGTCATCAGTGGATATTAGTTAAATTCTAATTGGTAACCTAGTAAAAATGGTCTAATATGCAATTACAGGCTAAAAAAAAGATAATAAATTCTCTGTATGGTTATAATGTGAATAATTACTGGGGCTGATAAGCTATGTGAATTTTGTCTAACATTACTATTATTTTGTCATTTCGATATACCCGGTGGAATAGTCGATGTGCGCAAGAGCTGGACCGAACACCACTATTAAAAAAGAAAAGGAAATGGCATGAAGTTTTCTATTTTTTATTATATAAAAGATATTAATGTAAAGCACTTAATTCTGAAATTGAACAAAATAATGGTCGAAAACTGTTAAATTGAAAGGGAATGATGATGATGATGTATCGTGGTTGTTGTTCTTCTTATTGTTTGTTCTTGTTCTTGTTGTAGTTATTGTTATTATTATTAGGATGGGAGGTTAATAATATTCTATTCAAGAAAAAGACTGATTATTTTTTTATAATCTGCTAGAAAAAAAAACTTAATTTGGGAAATAACTGGTGATAAGATTCAAAAACTAGGACCTCGAGATCATCCACTCGGATATGATAGATTTGGTCTTCAAGTTTATTTCTTTACCTATCACCTTTCAGCTCAGTTATCTTATGTGTTTCATAAGGTAAAGCTGAGTTATTCTACAATCATCTTATGTGTTTCATTTTTCTGTGGTCTAGTATTCAGGGGCATAAGGAGTGGATTAATGAAGTAAACTTTTTAGGTGTAGTGAAGCACCCAAATCTAGTGAAGTTAATCGGCTATTGTGCTGAGGATGATGAAAGAGGGATGCAACGTCTTTTAGTTTATGAACTCATGCGTAACAAAAGCTTGGAGGACCATCTATTGTCCCGATCATCAGCTCCTCTCGCCTGGACTTTGAGATTAAAAATTGCCCAAGATGCAGCTCGTGGATTAGCATATCTGCATGAAGAAATGGATTTTCAGGTGATTTAGACTTCTTTTCAGAATCCATTACGTGTTTTCTCAAGTGGTAGTTCATGTGTTTTTTAATTACCTCGCCCCATTTCTTTCTTCAAGATTTCCTTGCTAAAGAAAAAGTTTCGTACATTACTGCACTAGAAATTCAGTTCAAGGAAGAGGGTTGAAATCATCCCATTAATATTTTTCTTTTTAAGGAAGAAAAATCCATTTGTTGTCTTTCAGTCCCTTTATATTGAGTAAATGCAATGACTTAATCCTTTGAATCATGTTGGAAAGGTGAACTAGCTTACCGAATATTTTCCTGATTCTTATCAAAATGAAAAGTAGTTCGCTTAGCTAAAGTGCTACCGATGTTAAAAACAGGATTTAGTAATATTCTGAGAAAGGTAACAAAAGGACAGACGTAAATTAAATCTTAATTGATCATCGACCGGAGGATAGTAGAATACATGACATGAATAGAAGCAAAAAGGAACTTGGAAGACGAGCAAATGAGATATGGTGGGATGACAGGTAAGAAGCCAAAAAGGAAAATCATTTAGCTGGATTTTTGTAAACAAGACAAATCTGATGTTCATCCAAGCTTAAAGCAGTCCCTTTGTTCAAACTGCTTCATATACCTAATTCGCCATTTATTTGCATGGTTTCTGAACAAGTTACCAAAAAATAAGTCGTCTCACTTAGAACAATTGGCCTACTGGATGTGGAGCGCTGCACGTTCTGACAATTCTGAAATTTGGATGGTAATTGCATTTGCGTTTCTACGGATAGTCAAAGTTATATCTTTTAGAATGAATCAGATAATTTTAAGTTTGTTGATTTCAGAGTGAACTCACTAAAACTTTCTTATAAATGTGTTGGTAAACTCCTAAGAAAAACCATGACATTATTGGTGCATGGAAGCCCAATTCAAACTTCAGTTTGACTATCAACAGAGATGGCAGATATCTTCCCCGGTCCCTTGATATATTCAGGATTGCAGCCTCTTATCAGCAGTACCAACTGCTAACCTTTGACATTTCTGGTTTTAGAAGTTGTCCTTATGTTATTTTTCCGCTGCTGTCTTTGGTTCAGTTGATATTTCGAGACTTCAAGCCATCAAATATTCTTCTGGATGAAGACTTTAATGCAAAGCTTTCAGATTTTGGACTGGCTCGGCAAGGTCCAGCTGCAGGACTAAGCCATGTGTCAACATCAGTAAGTATTTCTTTTCCATCCCTTTTTTCTCGTCAATGGGATGGGGATTCCCTGGTATTCCTTGGGTTTCAACTTTCAACATGGACCTCATATGTTTTTTATTCTTCTAAAGTTTGGAGCAGAATGATCATGGTGTTCTGGAACTGTTTATCATGCCTTTGATTACGGTAGATATTTTCTCTTTGCGTATTGCCTGACATAGCAAGTCTTCAGGTCGTTGGTACAGTAGGCTATGCGGCCCCCGAATATGTCCAGACTGGAAGACTCACTGCTAAAAGTGATGTTTGGAGCTTTGGAGTTGTTCTCTATGAACTTATCACAGGAAGGAGAGTGTTGGAACGAAACCTTCCTCGAGCTGAGCAAAAACTACTGGAATGGGTGAGACCCTATGTTTCAGACTCAAAGAAATTTCATTTTATTATTGACCCTCGGCTTGAAGGCCATGATTGTGTCAAGTCAGCTCAGAGACTCGCATTACTGGCCAACAAATGCCTCGCAAAGAATCCAAGATCTCGCCCTAAAATGAGTGAGGTCGTTGATACACTCGGGAATATCATAGCTGATGCAGCAGCTCAAGGTGAATCAGTGCCTGAGACTGCAAAAGAAGCAGTAGTTGAAAACGAAGAAGCTGCAGAAGTAGGTGTCGACACAAAGGAAGAAGGAAGAGAGGAAGTTGAATCAGGAAAACCGGAAAGCAATAATCAAAAGTGGAGTTTCGATTTCAAAGAAATGGTCAGCTTTAGGAACAAATCTATTGGTAAGTTAGATTGGAGGAATTGGACAGCAGGTTTAGTCAAAACATCATAACATACTGCCCCTCGTGTTCTGCAGACCCTGGCTGATGGAGCATTTTTGTTTTTTAGAATGGAGATATCGGCACATTATCAAAAAAAAAAAAAAAAAGAAAGAAAGAGAATGGAGATATCAGCAACTTTGCTACATATTTTCTGCAAAGAGGTGTAAATTTAGTAGGAGCGTCTCCAGGTCCATTTTCCTAATCTTGTATTTGGCCTAGGAAGGGTTAGTTCACAATTGGAATGCATTTCCACTTGTAGTTTGTATAGGGAACAATCCTTTTCTCTTTTAAGTGTAATCCTTCACAGAGACAACTATTTGGATCAGCACATCCAGTCTCACTACAATGGTTGAGAGCTACTTAGAGGGCAATATGTTCTATGAACTTAGTTTGCTATATTGTATTCAACCCTTAAATTAATGAAAGAGGCTCCTTTCTCTTTTTCCTGCACTTCTCTTCAAGCCAACATCCAGTTATGATTCATAAAGCCCACGGTCAAGGGCTGTCGAGCCTCGCTTTCCATGATGCTCTCCCTGCCAGTGTGTTGGTGTCGCGTCGATGAAGGTTTAAGGTCTCTTTCCTTCTTTACCGAAAAGCTAGTAATTTTATATCTTCTTGAAAGGAACCGGAGTTTTTTTGCCTCCAAAGAGTATAAAGAAGCAGAGTTTCATCCCAACAAACTAGACTCATGTATTAAAGCGTTATGTTAACGAACGACATTTGCTGGATTCAAATTATAGTGTAATGACTGTGAATCTCGACAACCATATTGGTCATTGCTGTCTAGCATTGGGCGTTTGCACCTAACTAATCAATTAACCTTAAGAATCAATAAGTTAAAAGTGAAGATATATATCACTTAACCATGGTTTAGTATAAAAAAGTGTATATGCAATACATGTCTTACGCTCATATAAGACAGATATGTTTTATACTCATTGGCTTGATATAAATATCTGGTGCAGGTAAGTTTTTACTACCATATGACTATGTCGCATCCAATCTTAAATTGAGCTTTGCTCTACCTTATTTTTATTATAATATAATTGGTCCAATTGAATTACAATACAAAAATTAACTTAATGCATATGTTGGGGGCTTTGAAAATGTTGTCGATAACCAAGAATTCTTCAACAAAAAACCAAAAAAAAAAAAAAAAAAGAACTACTCTTGTGAATAATGGAATAGAAGAATTAACCTAAATAACTGCCCACCCATTCGTTAAATTTAAAAATAATAGGTAAATATATAATATTTGTATAATTAAGTGTAATCTTTGTACAATTTACGTATAAAAATGTGCGACCGATTAGTCTACTTAACAATCTTCCAAATTTGGCCCAATTTCATGGACCACGACCTGATTTCTGAAGGTAGTCTTATTCCCGTGGCGGCCCTTTTACCACATGTGGTTCTGCCCTCTTCGACCAAGCAAAAGGCACATGGTTTGAAGTCGGGATGAATGAACTACCTCTCCGGAAGAGTTCTTTTTTCTTTATCTATCTTCTTTTACTGTTCATCGGTGGGGAGCTTTGGAGCAACAATTAAGTTATTTTCGTGTGACCTACAGGTCGCGGGTTCATAGAATCAGCTACTGATACTTGCATCAGGATAAGTTGTCTATATCACAAACCCTTGTGTTCAGGGGCGGACCTAGTGCATAGGTTACGGGTTCCCGAAAACCCAGTAACTCTTGCGTAGACCCTGTATTTATATTAAAAAATTCACTAAATATTGGTAAATATTTGACTGTGAACCCAGTTATTATTATATATTAATATGAAATTACGGTAGGAACCCATAAGCCTCAAATCCTGAATCCGCCTCTGCTTGTGGTGCAACAATTCCCTGAATCTTGCAGAAACGGGAGAACACCAGGCTGCCCTTAGTCTCTTACTGCTCGTGGGCCTCGCACTAAAAGGGCAGTATACCCGATTCATATTATTTATCTTTCAAGATCTTTGCAATCTTTATGAAAAATACTCTCTTCGTTCACTTTTACTCGTCTATAATGGACTTTGCACTCTCCTTAAAAAATAATAAATAAAATAAATATTTTACCATAATACCCATAACAGTGATAAAATTTTAAAAAGTCTTGGAAAATAAGTAGTTAATAATAAGGATAAAATAGGAATATAGTTATCTTTTTCTTGATTTGCTGAATGGACAAGTAAAAATAAAAATATATATTTGATATAGTTAAAGGTGGAAGTATTCAATTCATAGCTTTAATTATAAGCTATTAGTGTAGATTACCTTTTATGTTTTTCCAAAAGATCGCATTGAATTAAAACTCCACTAATTGGAGCAGTAAAAAAAAAAAGTAATAAATGCTTTTTATTTTCCAAAAATGTCAAATATTTTGAAATAAATTCGATTTTTCAAAGTGACTCATCTCCCATGGCTTCTTGATAGGGATATTTTTTCTATATATACTATAATAAAGACTTATACAGAAATGTTCTGGACCTCCCCCCCCCCCCCCCCCTCCAATCTTGGTAACTTTTGTTTAGTTCCACTTGAATTTCATGTGGTCTTTAGTACACCCCTCCCCCCCCCTCCCCCCCCCCCCCCCCCGAACTTGAAAATTTGAT